AATGTTGGGGAGACGTCTGTGTCAGGGGTACAGATTTGGGAGTGACAGTTTCATCAGAAAACTGACATCATGGGAGTAGATGTGAAGAGACTATGTGACATGAAAAGAGAACCAAGTACAGAACTCTGGGCAGCACTGGAATCCATGGGGCTGTACCTGAAGAGTTGAGAAGAGTGAAGGGCATGGGAGTGGGGTGGGAGGATGTGGGGCTGAGGCTATCAGAGAGCCCGCCACAGGGGAGAACCAGGTCCCTGAAGGGCAATAAGAGGAGGCCTATGGGGAAGCAGTGATAGATAGAGAAGTCTTCCCAGCAAGGAGGGATCCAGGGGAACAGAGGAAAGGGGGCAGGGAGGGCAGCAGGCAGGGGACTCATTGGGGTGGAGTGTCTAAGGACAGCATGGAGGTGAGTGAGGGGAAGGCAGGAGCCACTCCCAAGTGGCCTCTCTTCTCTCAGCTACTTCCAGGCCACTCCAAGGGGCTGCTTGTCCATGTAGGTGGGGGTCAGTCCAGATAGATCTGCGGGGCTGAATCTTGCCTCCCGAAGTGCTGATGTGTAAGAACCACTGCTAACGTTTACATCCACATATTTTGCTTCCCCTGACCTGCGGACAGATGTGGAAATAGGAAGGCTGGCCAGCCAAAGTAAGCAGAGAGGCTTACAGATCTAAACCCTCCTTCTATTTTAATTGGAACTTCAGAAACCAGCTTCATTCCTCAATCTGTTCCAGTCCAAAGGAAAATGGGCCACCCCTGGCCTTGCATTTTAGAGCAAAGCACGATGTCTGCACACCACATGTCTGATTGGCTGGTCTAGACCACCACACTTCCCGGTGCCCCTGCTAAACCTGAGGCCTCCTTCCAGCAGGCTGACTCCTTGAGGGTGTCTTGGTTGGTTTCTGAGTGTCTTCTGCGTGTGGTACCCCTTGCCTGAACTTCTCACTAACTCATCTAGTAGGTATTATATTAATCTTGTTTGCAGCTAGAAACAAAGGAAGCTTGAGATTACACAGATACTAAGTGGGAGAAGTAGAATTTCTATTATTAAACTTTTCTTTTATTATAAAATAATTCAAACAGAAACATTCAAAGAATAATGTAACTGACACCTCTGTACCTACAAATAGCTCTACAAGATTCTAACATGGAGCCATCCCTGCATCAGACTTTTTAAAATAAACAAAATTTTCTGTTTTCTTTTTTTTTGGACAGAGTCTCAGTTTATTGTTCTGAGTAGAGTGCAGTGGCATCATCATAGCTCACTGCAACGTCAAACTCCTGGGTTCAAGTAATCTTCCTGCCTCAGCCTCCTGAGTAGCTACCTTAGTGCTGGAATTATAGGCACCTACCGTAGTGCTGGGCTCTTTTTTCTATTTTTGATAGAGATGGAGGAGGCTTGCTCTTGCAAAGGCTGATCTTGAACTTCTGAGCTGAAGTGATCCTCTACCCTTGGTCTCCCAGAGTGCTAGGATTATAGGCATGAGCCATTGCACAAACGAAATATTAACATACACAGTTGAAACTCTATGTCTGCCTTCCTAATCTCTCTCTTCTCCCTCTCTCTTCACAGGTCACTACTATTTGACCTACTATTACCATGCAAATGTTTTTATTGTTATTAAACATGCTATATTAAAAACAATCCATTGGGGTGGCGCCTGTGGCTCAGTGAGTAGGGCGCCAGCCCCATATACCAAGCGTGGTGGGTTTGAACTGCAACAACAACAACAATAAAATAAAAATAAAAACAATCCATCATTGGCTTGGCACCCCTAGCACAGTGGTTATCGCGCTGGCCACATACACCAAGGCTGGTGGGTTTGAACCTGGCCCGGACCAGCTAAACAACGATGACAACTGCAACAAAAAGAATGGCCGGGCATTGTGGCAGGTGCTTGTAGTTCCAGCTACTTGGGAGGCTGAGGCAAGGGAATCGCTTGAGCCCAGGAGTTTGAGGTTGGTGTGAGTTGTGCTGTCACAGCATTCTAGGGCAACGTAGTGAGACTCTGTCTCAAAACAAAACAAAACAAACAAACAAACAAAAAACCAATCCACCATCATGCCTGTAATCCTAGCACTCTGGGAGGCTGAGGCATGTGGATCACCTGAGGTCACAGGTCGAGACCAGCCTGAACCAGAGTGAGACCTCATCTCTAAATATAGTCAGGTGTTGTGGCAGGCACCTGTAGTCCCAGCTACTTGGGCGGCTGAGGCAAGAGAATTGCTTGAGCCCGAGAGTTTGAGGTTGCTGTGAACTATGACCATGGCACTCTACCAAAGGTGACAAAAAGAGACTCTGTCTAAAAACAAAACAAAACAAAACCCCCAACCCATCATATTATTCTGAGTGCATTTAAATGCTGCATAAATGGAATCAAACTCTGAAGTTTTTTATTCAACTTGTGTATATCTAGGATATTCACTGGTGATTGTAGACCATGTTAACTTCAGCTCACATCGAACATTCAGACTTTGTCAACTGACACGAAGCCCTGAAAGCTGTGTCTCGCGACTGTGATAACGCAAAGCTCCGACTCCTTCAGTACCTCATATAGATGTTTAGGTTGATTTCCTCACTTCCTGGGATAACATTACAGGCCTTATTATTGGAAGTTTGTCTTAGTCAAGCTTTGCTCTTGCCAAACCATTTCAAATAATGAATGAAGCATGGACAGTATTTTCCACAGTGCAGAGGTGGGGTAGAGGGTTGTGGAAAATATGGATCAACCATGAATCTAAAGTCAGAGGACATAAGAATATCAGGACAGCTGGGCGATGTTTGCAACAATCCCAAGGTTGTTTCTACTCCTGTTTCTTCCAGATGAATCTCTCCCATTTGGCTCACAGAATTCTCCTGACATTGAACCCAACAGGAAGAGGAATGCTTGGGTTTTATTGTGGGCTATTTCTTATGATTTGCCTGATATTTTCCCTGGGTCAAATATCTATGTCGTGTAGTTCAGCAATTGTTAGCCATGGGGAACATTAGGCTACTGAGCCCTTGAAGCGTGACTGAGAAATGGAATTTTAAATTTATATAATTTAATTAGAATAGCCATATATTAAAAAAAAAAGAATAGCCATTCCTACATAGCTACTTATTACTGTGTGGAAGGATTTATCTCAATACCTATTGGTGGAGTTTCAACAAGTCTTAAAAAATCCAAAGAGTTCACATTAAATTGCAATTGATTTATTTGTTCTTTCTTTTCCTACTCTAAAATTAGTATAAGAAACCGGACAGTGTGGACTGCTATGCTTGCTCAGGATACTCAATTGCAGTAGTCCGCAATGTTTTTGGCACCAGGGACTGGTTTCATGGAAGACAATTTTTCCATGGACCTGGGGAGTTGTGGTTTTGGAAAGATTCAAGAGCATTCCATTTATCTCAGCTCATCGGGCATTAGATTCTCATAAGGAGTGTGCAACCCAGCTCCCTCCCGTGCACAGTGTACAGCAGGGCTCCTGCTCCTATGAGAATCTAATGCCACAGCTGATCTGACAGGAGGAGGAGCTTGGGCAGTGATGCGCTTGTAAATGATGCAGTGATGTGGTTGTAAATACAGATGAAGCTTTGCTTGCTCCTCTGATGCTCACCTCCTGTGAAGTCCAGTTGCTAACAGGCCATGACCAGTACCAGTCTGCCGCCTGGGGGTTGGGAACCATGGCTCTATTGTTCAGAGTATCATTTCTCCAAGAGCTCTGTTAACCTGCTGTTTGTAGTCAGCACATCCTTGTGATCTTGTTGGAGTTGATGAGCACCAGGTATCGGTGGCACCTGCCTTCTCCCGTCACTGGACATTGTCTCTCACCTCATAGCTCACTCAGTCTGCAACATCAGTCCCCAGGTCCATTTGTTCTGACACCTTCAATTTCAGGCTGCTCTTAGCCACCCTCTGCTCCATCACTGTCTCATTTTGGGAGATGAGTCATCATGATGGTTTAAAGACAAAATTAGGTAGAGGCGATAAATCCATGAACAGGAATATAGAGCTGAAGAAATCATCCAGAATGTATATAGATAAACAAAGAGGTAGAAATATGAAAGGTGAAGAGACAGAGGACAGAGTGAGTCCACTGCCTCCTTGGAGTCCTTGAAGGGACTCCTTTTTTTTTTTTCCCAGGTTTTTATGCCAATAATTTATTAAATGGAGGTCTGTACACAGGCAAACCTTACTGTGGAAACTATGATATCAGGAGCTCTCCCCACTCCTCCAGTCCTCCAGGGTGGCATGAGGAGGGAGGAGACTTTGAGGGCAGGGACAGAAGGGGAGATACAGCTGTAGGAAGGGGAGGGATGGGATTGGATAGTGAGAATCCATGTTTTCTTTAAGAAAAAAATTATAACAATCTATTTACACCCAGAGGCCAGGGAAGGGAAAAGGAGGTGGGGGCTGGGCTGGTTCTATTTACAAGGGACACAAGGAGGGGAGGGGGTTGAAGGAGGTATAGGCCAGGTGAGAGGAGGGGGGCCAAGGAGGTAGGAGGTCCTTGTGCCCCCATCCCCCTGTCCTTCCTTCCTTCTCTACCCTCCCCACAACCAGTTAAAATCCTCTTAAAAAGCTCACCACAGGAGTAGGCTAGTAAGGGAGGGACTGGAGGTGGGGACAGGGACTCATTTACCTCTGCCCTCTAGTCTAGGGGCCCAGTGAGGGCAAGAGCTTGGTGGGCTACGGCCCTCTCCCAGCCCCATGTAGGGCTCCCATATGGAAGTGAAAGGGTGGTTGGTAGGGCCCTCAGGAAAAGTTAGTGAGAGAAGGTGTAGCTTTGGGTGACTGCCAATCTGAGCTGGTCTGAGTCTCAGTTAAAGTTTGTGAGGACTGGGTGAGGGTAGGAGTGCCCACTGCAGACCTCAAGGGAGGAGGAGAGATGAGAATGGTGTTGAGAGATGGGTGGATGGAGAGTTCACCGGGACTGAAATTGAAGAGGGAAGGGAGTGGGAGGTTGTTGGGGAGCTGGGTACCAAGACATCGCAGTTCATCAAAGAAGCTGTGGGCATAGGCCTATAGTGGGGAGAGCCTTGAGGACAGTGTGTACTCCAGCAGGCTAGAGCAGAGCACAATGGCCTCTGGAGGCATTTGAAATTTGAATACCTTTGTCCAGGGATGAGCTTTAATCTGGGGAAACTTGAACTCCATGTAATTGGGGTTCATCTCTCGGATTTGTTCCCTGATTGGTGTTCCCAATACCTTGATGATCTCCATCAGCTGGTCTACCCCACTGTCCCCAGGGAAGATGCACTGACTAAGGAGAGGCTCAGCCGGTACACAGCCAGCTGACCACACATCAATGGATGAGGTGTTTAACATGTGCCTCCTTGGAGTCCTTGAAGGGAAGGGGAGAGAGGTAATTTCTAAAGAGATAATGACAGAATTTTTCAGAATTGGTGAAAAATTCATGAAAAAAAGTTTAGGAAGCCCAGTGAATTTATAACACTATAAACAAATTCTTTCTTAGTGGTGACACTGAAGAATACCAGAGACTATGGAAAAGTCTGAAATATAACCAGAAAGGAAAGAAGTGTT